GTCGCATCAAGGTGACGACTGCTTAAAGAAACGCTTCACTTAACTGTGTTGTTTCGCTTCAGAAGTTAAATCGCCGCATAATTCCGAAATACATTTTCTGACATCTTAATTTTTAAATGATATGAATAAACAAACTTGATGTTACAAGTTTGAGTGCTCTCACTTGCAGAGGTGTATTACAGTAAGCGGAAGTAAAAAGAACGACACGTCATTTTCCTGCGCTACTGGGGCCAGTGTGTGCGGTGAAGCCGAATGAGAGAGCAGTAGAGAGTGCAAAGCGAAGGTAAGAAACCAGTTAAGTGTGAGTTAAACATTTTTTCCATTAGCTGTTACAGCACTGCCAGTGAAGACTCATAACTTGAGTTCGCTCTCAAAATTATCTTTACTACTACGCATAATTCTGCGCGATTTCAGGTGAATTATGTGCTAGTATGTGCCTTACAGTCAGTAGCTGGCAAGTCAGTTAGCTTCCGATGAAATGAATGATAGTGAACCGGGCGAAGGGTAGGAAAATTACTATGAAATTAATATTTGTAAGTTACTAACTACGTGGACGTATATTTCAGGGTATATAGTTGTCGATCGCTGTTACAATGTCCACGTTGATGTTGTGTGCCTCTTTGCGCCGCCGTTAACAAAACGAAACAACCTAACGTTAGCTATAATTGTCTAATTAGCGTGCGAGCAAGCTAATAAGCACAGTCATTCCACCCGAATTGCGTAAGAGTGTCATCAAGGCCAACCCGATTTTACTGGCTGTTTTTGACTGGAAAATAGCTTGCTACATTTTCTCTTTGGGGGAAAGCCGTAAGGCGCACAGATCAGCTAGCTATCTAGCTAGCAAGGTAGCTATTGATTTTTCTTAACGGACCCCTTCAGTTAAACGTTATTGTTGTGATCTGACTGTCAGTATGACAGCATTCCACGATACGTTTTTGTTGAACAACGGGTTTTACCATTCAATCTAGCCAACCAGGTTTTTCTATAATACTGTATTTTAACAACTGTATCTTGCTCGGCAAATATTTAATACGCTTTCGAGTTGTACTAGCAATTTACGCGGTCCAGCAAGTTTCTGGATAATGTGTCACTTTGTTCGTCGGCGTTTCCTTGAGTCGTCCCCTTGCGCGAATCTGAAATGAGTGTCCTCAGATGGCTTGAGTAAAAGTACTAAAATTATCCGACGTCGATGCAGCAGATGCGCTCACGTTTCGCTTTCGGGGGAGTCGCAGTTCGCTATACCATTCATGTCAAAGTAACGCTCAGCAGAGGAGGGTGCATCAAGCTGATCGCCTTTCTGTCTGAGATGGTTGCAACACAAGTTCAGAAAGTACGGGGAGCTTATTTTGGGCCCAGTCTTTATCTGACTTCTAACATTGACTTCCAATATTGGAAGTCGCTCTTGATAAGAGCGTTTGCTGAATGACAAAATGTAATGTAAATGTCTTCCCAGCCTATTGATGCGTCCCTTAAAGATGCTTTCGACAAAGTCTTAAGTACAAAGGTGTTTTGCTCTATAGCAAAATATACCGCTATATATTAATAAATACCTGGCTTTTTTGGAGTTTCCTTCAAGATCATCCGCCATAATTTAGTATCATTTTGCTGTTTGTGTGGAAATATTGGTTAATTTATTACATTTGATTTGTGGCCCAGCACACCAGAAGGACTACTGCAGACAGACCTTACTAAATTACTCCCAGAATGCTTTGCAGTTTACAAATCGGTTCACTGATGTTTCCACTCAGACACAAGACGTCTGTTTCATGTTTTTTGTTGTTATTTTATTGCTACGACTGTTGTAGAAGTAACCTGTTGTCTACCAGATCTTTGAGAGTTCTGTTGGTGACCAAATTGGAGAGTTTGTTAGGCAAGGAGAGTGGAGAATGCTTCACTCAGTGTTACATTCTCCAACAGCAGTCAGTATGATCATTTGTCCCTTCTATAGGGCAGCTGTGTACACAGGAAGGATGTAAATTCTGTCCTCTCTTACATGTGAAGTGAAGATTTTGTGGAAACAGTTATATTTCAGGGAGGCACACAATATTTATTACTCTTATTTCTGAGCGTCTTATTTAGTTATTTTCCGTTTGGCGTAGCAGATATCAAGGACAGGTAAGGACAGCGTTTGGCTTCTCTCTCTCACTCATACTCATTCCCAAACAATAACAGAGCCAAGCACATCCTCTGCTTTGTGCTGGGTTTACATTCTCTGCGCTAAACTTGTCGCCAACTTAACTGCTTCATAAACTTTCAACATTGTGGAGGAGAGGTTCTGCATTTTCCGATTTCCTTTCTGTTTATTTTGATATTTTATGTCTTAGAAAGGTCTTCATTTTTGAAGTGTTTAGCTTTGTGCAGATGTGTTTAAAGACAGGGGTCTTAAGATGACCCCTTGAACACTCTGATGCTGAAGCTGTCCTGAGTCCCTTTCCCAGCTGAAGAGGTGGCATTGGAAGTTGAATTTGAATTGGTCTATTTACACACGGACTGATGGCAGTTAGCTGGTGTATCTGCTGTCTTCCTCTGGCAGCTTGTTTAAATATCATTGTCACCCATGCAGCATGCAAAACTGGGTGCTTGTGATAATGTCGCTTGCGGCTGTACGCGCATCACCCCTTTGTGCCTTGTCAGAGCTTAATGCAAGCCAGATCTGATACCAGCTGCGTGTGGTACAACAGAGGAAAGGCAGAGCAGAGGAAACCAGCATTTGAAACCACTCAGTTAAGGAGACAGAGAAGATTTATGCTGTTCTTGATGAGCTGTAATGGGGCCTCTCACAGCAGCACAACCGAGCGCCAAATTTGGTTTAAAGAACAGCCTCAAGGCGATGTCTTCTGCAGATTTTTTTAGTACCAGGAAGTACAACATGTTAAACAAAATGATGCTGTGTGGATAGTTTTGAACCTCATTTAATGCGCGGCTCAGGAATAAAAATAGCAATCCCTCCCAGTCTGAGGAATTTTGAGAGTGTGTGGGTTTAACTGGAGGCTCGTTATTGCACTCACCGGAAGCCCCTGTGTCGGTGGTGCACCAACCGGTTCCTGGTAAAACCTGGAGTGGTACCAAGTGCTTTGCATTGGGAGTGCTTTTTCTATCCTTGCAGATAATGCCATGATAACTGTGAAACAGTGCTGTCTCTGAGCTGTGGCTTTGGATCATTGAGAAAGCATCATGTCCACTCTGTGTAAGGACACCTTTAGACACCTGTGTGTAGTGATGTGAAGTCTTACAGTGGGGTTTGTGTCGCAGGAGGATCACATCACGTCCATAGTGAGGCTGGAGTCAGGATTAGTTTGGTCCCTTACAGGTTCGTTTGACTAAAATCAAATTCTGTGGATATGGTTTTGAAAGTTGCTGGGGAAAAGGTTTTTGTGAATATTTCCTGCCACGTTTTTGTGTTGCATTAGTAAGGCACTGCTGTCTTTGATTGGTTTGAAGATAGCAGTGTTTTATTGTGACGTTTGTGTGAAAGTGTTGAGCAATAGCCATTTTGGCCTGATTTAAGCATTGCTCAGCTGTTGCACAACACTTCCTACACTACAAATATACTTTTCTGAACTTTCAGCAATCTGTTTTCTTAAGTAGCCTAAAATCATCTTTATCTCAGTTTTTTTAGTTTTTTACTGAGAAGTTCACCAGAATGCTCACATACAGTCATGACAAATTCCTATATACATATATATGGATGTGCATTTCTTTGTAGTTGTAGCAACATAATTTAGGACAAAAAACCATGTTCATTTTTGTATGGTTATTCATAGCAATGTGTTATCTGAAGCAGGCCATAGGATATCCTCCTGTCCTAATGCAAGAAGTCTTATGCACCACCCAGTACAGCCATCAAGAATGCTAAAAAATGCATTGGTGTAAAACCAGACGAGGTTTTCAACATTCGAGCAAGGTTTTTGATTGAGTAGGTTTGGTGTTAATGGAATGACCCAGGGGTTTGGTGGCAGCAGGGGGAAGGAGAGAGGTTGTATCGGCAGTTATTACCAGGGTGGCTCCCCCGGGGAGAAAGCGGGGGGTTCCCCTGTCACACTCGGCCTGTTCTGACACAGTGTCTTTTCCCTCTCTTTGTCTCCTAATCACACTGTACCGCAGAATCCCCTGTAGCAAATCAGATTCATACTTTATGGGAAAGGCCAAAGAGTATTTGACAGTGAAAGTGTTTGTCTTGTACCAAAATCAAAAGGGCTTACTTATTTAAAAGTGTTTGGTGCAACATGTCCAACCAGGTGCTTTCCCTGTGTTTGAGCTTATGTAAGGCAGCCCAGGGCACCTTTGTACCTGATGCACTCTTGCATGTTCATTTGTTTAAGTAAATTGCTCTCTTTGTTTGTGGAGCAGCAGTGAGAAATGATCAGTGTTATGGCATGGTGATGATTTTTCAACACTGGAAGCCTTCCATCAGATGTGATTAGTGGTCTTTTCCATGTGCTGATTAATTAACTAAATGATCATTTTGGTGGCTGCTGAAATCTGCTTTTTGTTTTGATGACTTTCGCATGTGGAAGACACATGTTGAGCAGCGATGCTCCTGCTAGCATTCAGGCTGGAAGAAGAGTGAAGCAAGGCCTCCCAGCTATGTAGCCATTCAACTCACACTTTTATTCACCAGCATGTGCTGTCTGTTAAAACCAGTGGTACGTGATCAAGGAGAATAGTCAAACCACTACATTATAGGTCATCTCAAGCCTGTCACAGAACTGCAACACTAATAAAGATTGCATTGTGGTTTGACTGAATCTCCCCAAGGTTTCAATAAAGCTGCAGGGGTGTGGGTGGAATATTCCAATCACAGGACAGGGGCACCTTGGTAGGCGTCTTCTGTAGTCTTCCCTCAGTGTCCCAATGCATACTTTTATTTAGTTTAATTTTAATGGCAGTGACCTGTCCCAGCTGATCACAGCAGCTTTGTGATTGGCTGGGACATCATGCATCATCACACTGAGTGACTGATAGTCTCTGTGAGATTCAGAACAGTTTAAAGCCAGGCTAACAGTGTGGCTGAGTGGGTAGGGTGCCAGGCTTGAAACCAGGTGGTTGCTGAATTGTGTACTGCTGTTGTGTCCTTGAGCAAGATCGCATCAGTAAATACCCAGCTGAGTGCATGGATGGTACAAACCACCTTGGCAACGTAAGGTGTCTGCGATAGGGGCATGTGTTAGCACATAAACAGTGCCAAGCTAGTAAAGAAGTAGGGAACCGGGTCCTGTTTTCCTCTCTGTGTGTCTGTTAGTATCAAGCTTTGAGTGCTGCTGTTAACGTCTCCCCCCCAACTGTTTTCAGATCACGTGATCCATAAACCAGCCAATGAGATGGCAGAGAATGGGGCAGATTGTGAACTACCACAGAGACGCGTAGGGTCCAAGGATCAGCAGAATGGGAGCTCTGCAGGTGAGTGGAAATCCAGGCAAAGGTGAGCTCTGGAAACCAGCGTCAGATCAGCTGCACTGAGTCATTGATTCCTTGTAACTCTGAAGGTGAATGTTTAAACCTTTGAGCAAGAGGAAGGTGGACGGAGGCATCTTTATCAGCTGGGACACGATCCATTGACATTACGAAGCATTCCGCCTTTTTGTATCTGTTGCTGGTGTTTTTGATAATGAAATTTGTCTGAGGGGAAAGTGCATTAATGTATTTGATGCAGTGTCAATGTACAAGGTATAGAGAGATTACCACTGGCTGAACCTGAAAGAAACATGCTTTCTTTCTGCGATGAGATGTTTTTCATTAAGTGTATGTGAATGTGTTGATGTTACTTGATGCGCCTTATCAAGTGAAGAGGTCAAACAGCAGAACATTCACTGCCTACTCCAAGGCTTCAAGCTCTACAAGTGCTTTGTGAATCTCTTTCAGTTTGAATGTCAAGAACGGGCAAAGGAAATTGACTAAGAATACAGTGCAGTACTTGATGACCATTTATACATCAGAGCAACATAAAATTTTATCCGTTTAAACAAATGGATATTTATTGAGGAAATTGTGGGTGAAATACCTTGCCCAAGGGTACAACAGCAGTGCCCCGGCAGGGAAGTGAACCAGCAACCTTTTGGTCACAAGCCCTGGTCCCTATCACTACACCACACTGGTGCCCCTTTTTACATTACATTCATTTTTCAGATGCTCTTATCCAGAGTGACTTCCAGCACAAAAGAACAGAAGTGTATCCATTCAAGCTGAATGAACAACAGTGTCAGACCAGGCTAACAACACTCCCAGGCCAGTGAGAGTGAGCATAGCGCTATTCAGGCCCTACCACAGTTAACTTGTGCAGCCTGACTAGACAGCCTAGAAATAGAGGAAGTCGAGTACACACGCTACCATACATCACAGTCACTAGATCACAGAATCCAAAACACACTGTGAAACTAAGGGAGTGAAGAGGGTCTAAGCTGGTGGAAGGGAAAGCACAATGCGGCTGTACATTTAGCGCGGAGAGGTCTCCTGCAGTCTGATCCAGAAGAGCTCTGTGCCATTCTGTGGTCTACATTTTGCCCAAAATAACCAAAATCCAATCTGGCTTTAAGTTATGCAGGCAATCTGTTCTAAATTCTCTCAAGTCCTGCGGTTGCCAGAAGGCCTAACTGAACAATACAAGCTTTCCTGAGCGTAAGCTGATCATTTAAGGGCCGCTGGGACTGGGGTCATAGGTCACGCTGACAGACTGCATGTGTTCTCCACTGATAGGCTGCTGCTGTCTGGAAGGTGACAGGAAGGCATATATCCAAGGTACTCAGCGTGTGTGATGGACAGTCAGCTGTCTAGGGGATTGAAAGGGGGGGTGTCACAGACCACCCACAATCACTGATAATGCCAGTCAAATTAGTTTTTCAACTGCATATACACAGAATATACAATAGGTATCACTGAAGCCAGAATAGAATTTTAGCACATTTTTACTTCTACTACTGCAGTTGCTAACTACATCAAAGGCAGTGACAGATACCATGGATGGCAAATACACAAAGAACTGAGTGCTTATATTAGTGCTTATGGACAGTCATTTAAGTTTGCTGGCTGTGCTCCATAAAAAGTAATTGTTTTGATGAAAGTCCAGTACCTACACCATGCTCTGTGCCTGAATTCAGCAAAAACCCTACTCTTCCTTCAGCCCCATTCATTTTTAGGCATTAGTCAGGTGTCAGGGTGTGTCAGCATGAAGCCCCTTACCAGAGCCGGAGTGGTAGTGCCCTCTCCCCTCGTCACTGGCGCAGTGGTTGGTGGCTCTGTGCTCCAGCGAGCAGAGTCACCTGACCTCGTGACCTCCTGCGGCGTGCGGTGAGCGGCGTGCGGTGAGCGGCGTGCGGTGAGTGGCGTGCGGGGAGCGTCGTAGCCTCCAGCGGCCACCCTGCCTCCCCCACGCCGGCGCTCCGTGTCGATGGTGGCCAGGTTGCGAGGTTCTCTCACTCTCAGGAGTGCGTATTATGGTCGGACTGCGAACGCGGTCGATCGCAGTGATAACAGTGATAAGGGCAGGAGTGTGACCTAGTGGTAAGGAGGATGACTCATAACCGAAAGGTTGCAGGTTTGATTCCCCGCCGGGGCACTGCTGCTGCACCCTTGGGCAAGGTACTTAACCCACAATTTCCTCAGTAAATATCCAGCCGAATAAATGGATAACATGTAAAAACCGTAACCTGTGTAAATCGTTCTGGATAGATAAGAGCATCTGCTAAATGACAGTAATGTAATGTAATGTGTGTCTGTCCGGTGTGTTCCCAGACCCCTCGTCAATCAGCGAGAGGAAGCGGCGGGATCGGGAAGAGCGCCTCACGCTAGTCCTGTGGAGGAAGCCCATCCTGACCCTGCAGTATTTCCTCCTGGAGGCCCTGATCACCCTGAAGGAGTGGACATGGAGGTGAGGCGACAGAGGGCCCAGCACCCAGACCCTGCAGCAGAGAGCCTGGCTGAACAATCAGTGCATATATCACAGTGCTGTCATTTATGGAGTCTGACATAAGTTCATGTTTGAAATTTTTAAAAATATGTCAAAATAACTGCTTATATGCGAGAGAGTGCAGTGTTTAGTTTGATTTGGACATGGTTTTCTACCCATATCTTGTTGTGTAGCCCAGCATACAGTATGTATAAATCTATCTTTTTAGTCTGTGTAGAAATCACAGCATATACGCTAAGCAGTGCAGTGTTATGTTAAGTTTGAGGTTAAACATGTTCTTTCGCATGGATTTGACCCAACTCGGCAACCCACCTTTTGGGAGCCTCTGTTTAGAGTTTCCATGTGTCTGTAAGACTCCGCAGCACACAGAAAGCAGTCAGGCTGTGGGAATAGCAAAGCCTCACATGCAGAATGTAGAACCCCTCTCACAGTCCCTCTCACACCTACACTGTAAGTGTTTTATGGATTTTCAGTTGGATTTACAGTCTCATAAGTAATAATTAATCAGTCCTTAATCAGATTTGGCTCTAAAGCATGTGTGAATTCAGTATTAAGTGTCATTGTCAAGCGTAAATATTGGTTATTATGTGATGAAATCCTGGTTGCCACTGTAATAATGCAGTCCTGAGGAGGTGGCTAAGATCCCATATGTAGTTAAGCCTCCATATCTGTTCTGTGCTTCTTTGTAGTTCATGCACTCATTTGTGGGTTGCCTCACTACTTGCTTTGCATACAGGTAAATTCATTACCGGATGTGAGACTAGCAGGAGATTTTTAGCTCTTAGGCTACAAACTGGAATCAGAGTCTAGGTTTTGCTGGGATAGGCAGAGAGATATTTCATGAGTTACATATGTTTAAACGTAAATGGTGAACTATTTTCATTCTTAATGATCAGACTGCCAGGAAATCTGTGCTCAGTCAGGCGGTATCACTGCTGAACTGCAGGTACCTTTTGGAGCTGGAGATTACTGGTCTGATCTGCTTTAAACATGGAGCCTGGAAAGGCGTAGCAATGCTCTGTTCTGCTTGCTGTTCCAGGCTGTGGCAGCGGAGGGGGACAGTGTTCGCGGTCTTGGTGGTGGTTGCTTTCTTCACTGCTGCCTACTATGTTGAAGGAACCCATCAGAAGGTGAGGAAAAACACGTGAAGCATACACACAATATAAGTACACACACACACACACCACAATCCCCCCTCGTGCTTGTTTATCACTATTTTACACCTAGTTGTGAATCTCTAGGTTTACACTAGGCTCGTGTCTTTGGTCACCCTCATTGCTCATACAGGAGCCCTGAAGCAAGCCGAGTGTAGTCCTCCAATACACTTGAATGCAGCCAAGGGCTGTTTTTCACACTGCAGCTCCCAGAGTGCACCTCAGTAGGGCGAGCACTGATTGTATGATAAGCGCATCCCCTCTGATGTCACTGAGGAACTTTGCGGACACCTCACTAGCCATTAAAGGATCCCCGTACTCATCCCTACTCCTGGCGGAAAGAGGCCAGTTTGATCCACCACTGTGGGCTACTGGTCATTGTTGGCTGATGGCGAGGTTGGGCTGGAACCTGGGGCCACAGGGCTCAGCTGGTTGAGCCACTTGGGAGCCCCTCCTGTTGTTTTATTCACATGTCTCTCACATGAATATCAAATACCCTCCGTTCCTGTTAGGGCCATTTTAAATTAGACATTGCTAGTATGTACATTCTTAGCAGTGAGATGGAGGGTCTTTTTAGGGAATTTGAAGAGACCTCTCATTTCTAAGTTTTCTTGGGGAATGAAGGGAACCCCCATCCCTCCCCCCCCATGGTGAGTTGATGCTAAAGCCCCCCCCCCGCTTGAGAAAGTGTGTTCACCCAGGAGAGGAAGCTCTCAGCTTCCCTGCCTGTTGTGGTGCCTCAGTAAGAACAGTCCTCTCTGTCCTCCTCAGTGACCTTTCACCCCTTCACAGCTCTTTCCTCTCCACAATGAGTCTGAGCACGTGGCGGCAGGAGGGGCCCACTCATACAAAGCCAGCCATTGTAGCAGGCCGGGCCTCTCTCTCAGCTGAGTTACTGTGACCCCCCAGCCCGTGATGTGTCCTCTCTCTTCCTCAGTATGTGCAGTACTTGGAGAGGAAGTTCCTGTGGTGTGCCTACTGGGTAGGCTTGGGCATCCTGTCGTCGGTTGGCCTCG